AATAAGCAGTCCCTAAAAGTTAATAAAAGATGTTATTTAATTTAACTTCGTTCAAAAAATTTAAAAAGCCTAATGATCTGTTATTTTAAAATATAACTATACAATTAGTAACAGTAAACAAAGCTTGAGGGGACATTAAAGTAAATATAAACAAATTATGTTCTGAAAATTTATCAGTACCAACCCAGCAAACACAAACATTCAACAAACGTTGTGAACGTTGTGAAAGAATGTTCTATGAACGTTCACAGAACTTGTTTGAATGTTCGCAACATTCTTCGAACGTTTTGTGTGTGCTGGGAGGTGGTACTATAATTGACAGTGCTGCCAATTATATAACAACAAAGTGAACAAATAATGATCTTCCTAAACTCTGGAAAATGTACAGACTCATTTTAGAACATGCCATTGTACGACTATATAAATAAATAACACATTTGCATGTGTATGTACTTAATTAACTTAGTAAATTGTGAATACTTTAATATATTATTTTCTTATTGTATATTACTTTTTTACCTAACGTGAGCCATGGTCATCATTTTATTGAACTTGCTTAAATTTTATAAAGTATCGTATCTTGAAATAAACTGCATTTATAACCAAAATTTTTTTTAATATTATTTTTTAAATATACAACCAGATAAAAATATAGAGCACTAAAGAAAATTCATATGTAGGGAAAGTGGGTACATAACCGCATATCGAGGCAAAACCAATTTAAAATTGCACTTTAAAAAATGCTATCTATTATGGCAAAAAACATACCACACATTGATAAAACAGTTTTCTTCATTTCGTTTATATTAAAAAGAATACCTGATACGTTTCTGAGAAGTTGTGCATATTAACTTTTATAAAAACGTTTTGATAAAAATATTATTTTTACATCATATTTTTCCAGACCTTTCTTTTGAGGAATAGGCAATACTTGATTTTAGTGTTAAAGATATGTGTTATGAGCGTAATTTCATCAAGTGAAAGCCGTTTTTGGTGTTAACATAACCTAATAAGCAAGCTATAAAACGCTATTCCTTCTCAAAACTCTTCTCTGTGGCAGAACCGCATAAACGCAAAGGAGATACAACCGAGTACTTTTTAAAAGCAATTACGAACATTAACATTGTCAATCGTCACACCTGAATGTGTTTATGTAAAAACTTGAATAAAAGTAGTTTTATTTTGAAATGTTGAAAATTAGATTTTGTCTTTTTTTGCTTATTTTTTATAAATGAATTTTTGATAAAAAGCTAAGTGTATAAATTGATATCTTCTTATATTTATGTATATCTGATGACTATAATACTATTATATATTGTAGGTAGATAATTGTGCATTTCTTAATTAAAAAAAAATGTACCATAAAAAGTGCTCGTTCAACGATTTTTTTGAGGGTGTGGTTGTGCCTCATAATGAGGAAAAAACCATTTTTTTCACAAAATGTACTTTTTATGTAATAACATTTGTAAAAACCGCTTTACTATTTTTTTTAATTGCAGCAATTTAAAACTTAATAATGTGGTTATTGAAATACACTGTTAAAAAGACACATTTCACTTTTATTTTAATGCAACAATAATTCCAACATTTCGGAGGCGGTTTTGCCCACTTTTTTTGTTAATTTGTACCCTATATTATTTTGTTCCAAACATTGTCCAAAAATATTTAATCTGTAACAACTAAAACGTTAAGTGTCCCCAAAAAGGACTATAACATCAATCAAAAAGCACTATATTATCAAAAAGGATTATATTATTAATAAGGGCTATATTATTAACCTTAAATGTATACATACACACAAACACACACACAACAAATGATGAGGGCTCCAAAAGGGTTAACTTTATTTTTATGACATTAGATACTATTTCATTAGAATATGTATTTAAAATTAAACTTAACAAAAATTAAACAAAATCATTCATTCTTGACATAACAGCTTTCATTATTTTTTGCATTAAATTTTTTTTACAAATTTTTGTTCTTGATAATTTCTTTAAGTCACCGAGTATTCTGATCTACTACTTGAGAAGGAAATTGTATCATTCTTTTTATAGCTAATATCATAAGCTAAATGATTTAAGCAATGAAGGTTATATACTTGCAGATGATTTGAGTAAAACAACCTGGCATTGTTCTCAAAGCAACATAGAAGTTCATGAACATAACCTTATTGAGTCAATTACTTTTTGTACAGTATATTAATAGCTACACTTAAACTAACAATTTAAATATGAATGTATTTTTCTTTGTTTTGTATATGATTCGAAACCACTTGCCCACAATATAAAAGAAAGATTTTGAATTCAGAGACTTTTCACAACTTCATATACTTTAGACTTGGTTTTACAACAAGGTTTTCAATTAAATTCTACATGAATGTATTCTTTTAAGGAACATAAATAAACAGTTAATAAATTAATTTGCCCAGATGACAATCAAAGAATAGCAGCCCTTTTTCCAGATAAAACATATATTTTTAGTGCAAGCAAGGTCCGAGCCTTTTTTTGCTTTATCACATCCTTGTGATGAATAATTTAATATTTTCGCTCTAAATGTTTTTGCAGTGAGTACCAGTAGGCATAAAAATTCATTCAACTATCATCGGTTTTTTTCACCATACAACCATTATAGCAATTAATTAGAGTCTGAGCTAATGCATCACAAAATAAAAAATTTTACCTTTTATTTGTATGACTTTTCCATTAATATAAATAATGTCATTTGCCATGAGGGGTCTCCCACGAAGTATGTATGCAAGTATGGGGGGAGGGGGGAAGAGGATTACCCAAAAGCTTATGAATCCGTAAAGAGAGAGAGAGAGGGGGAGGGGCAATTAAAGTCAGCAAGTATGTACGTCTTGTGACTAATTCTCATTCTCAATCTATTTAAAAACTTGATTTTTTTATTAACAAAAGAATCTAATTTTTGAGTGATTTTTGAGTGATTTTTGAGTGATTTTTGAGTGATTTTTGAGTGATTTTTGAGTGATTTTTGAGTGATTTTTGAGTGATTTTTGAGTGATTTTTGAGTGATTTTTGAGTGATTTTTGAGTGATTTTTGAGTGATTTTTGAGTGATTTTTGAGTGAGTTTTGAGTAATGTCAAAATAACTAAAATTTTTTTGTTTTTAATGCTTTAAAAAAATGATGCGTTGGGGGCATAGAGTTAATTTTCTAATAATACATACGCATGCAGGAGGAGAAAGGGGGCATAAAAAAATGTTATTTTTTATTTTTCTTTAACTGTAACTAAATGCAGTTAAAGAAAATTAAAAAATAGCAACTAAGTAAAAATAAGTTTACTACAAAAAAATATCAAAAGTAACGTATTCAATGCAAAACATTACCTTTTTAAATAAATCAAACAAATAAAATATCTTGGAAGATTTTCAAATCTAACATTATAGTAATATCTAAGTTTTAAGGCATTTTTAATGGCGCCATAACTTGTGCTGGAAGTCAGGCGCAGATGCAGGATTTTTTGATGTTTGAGACACCTAGCTTCCAGATATGGAGTTAGATATCTCAAACATCAAAAATTTATGTGTTTCTCCAAAAATTTATATGTTTATACTTGTATCAAATAAAGATGTTTTGCAAAAAATTGCCACGGTTAGAGCCTGGAAACAAAAAAGGCATAAAATTTTAGTTACACCTGCCCCAAACGTGACAGCAACAAGTTGATAACTTATTTTTTTACTATTCTCAACCAAATTTATATACATTAATAAATTTTGAAACTCACACAATAATCTCTAAGTGTTCAACAATTATGGCCGTATAAAATTTGCAGCCCCCTCAAATTGAGGGGAGTTCAAACTATATATAGTTTTTGAACGCTAAGAGATTATTGAGTGAATTTTAAAACTTATTGATAAATGTAGATTTAGTTCAGAATAGAAGAAATAATATTAGCTAAAAATTAAGGACTTTTTTGTTCCCAGACTCCAATCATTGCATTTTTTTGCAAAGCATTCTTATTTGATATAGGTATAAATATATAAATTTTTGGAGTTGCTCGATGGCTGGAAGTTAGGTATTTGAAAGATCAAAAAATGCTGCATCCGCACCTCAAAATCAACAATGTTGGTCTAAAAATTTTTAAAATACTTTTTTGCATATCTTTGAACCATCTTGAAAGTAATTGTCTTTTCTTGTAAGACGTTTTCCGTCACAGTAGTTGGAATGTTAGCAACTTGTATTTCATATCATAGCTTGACAAATTCTTGATATCATAATGATATTACAATATCAGTTCATAAATCAAAACTTACTATTTGGATATTAAAAGAGAAAAAATTAACTATTACTGTGCTTTATAACTAATATATGGAATTCTGCTAAAAATTAAGTTTAATTCCTAAAGTTAAGATATCACTTGTGATATCATCTTGATATCATTATTGGATATCATAGCTTGAGAAGGTTTTGAAATCATTTTGATATCACATTGATACCGCCTCTTGACTGCTAAAGTTTATTTTCAAGTAGCCACACATGGATAATCTTTTTAATGAAAAACCCTACATGGAGTTAACCCTTTGACTGCGGCAAGCCACAGTCGTGGTTTTTTCGTTAAAGTGCGGCAAACACAATCGTGACTTTTTAAACCAATTTTTTGAACTATCACCTTTGTTGCAAAGAGTTATTACTTTTCTAAACATCATTAATTGATTATACAGTGAGAGCTTAAATTTTTTTGTTTATGAGAATCCTCAAAATGTGTCAGTAGGTACTTTTTGAGGATTCATCCCCTCCCCATCATTTTTTTTTTTTTTTGAAGAATCGCCTCTGCATATAAAAAAATAAATGTTAAAATTAATTGATGTGAAGAAATTTCCACATGGTTCAAAGTATGCTAAAAAATATTAATTGCATCTAGTTAAACATACAACGTACACTTATTGCTGCCATTTTTCATGCTGACAACGAGAAAATAGTAGCGCAAAAGAAAATAAGTGGTAATTAAAACAGCGTTTCGTCATAGCGAATAAATTCGCATCGCGCGAATATTTTGTCTTGTAGAAAATGACCTTTATACATAAAATTTATTTGTAAAGGCCGTTTTATATGTCATAGATATATGGGTTTTTAGTCGAGTTGACATGAATTGAGCGCTGTTAGAGGTTTATACTTTATCATATAAACGGGGGTAAGATATTAGTAATATTAGGTAAGATATTAGTAATATTGATAAGAGTCTATTATTTATAAACGCTACTATATTTGTACTTTATATAGAAAATTTTTGAATTTAATGTTTATATAGTTTTAAATGAAGTAAACATAAATAAAGTAAAAAATAAAGTAAAGTAATATTTAATGAAGTAAAACATATTAGACACATTAAACGCCGTCCAAGGAATTTCAGGAGGTTGCAAATTAAGTAATGTTGGACGTATATTATATTATAAAGCATATCTGGCGCTTGATATTTTAACTTTATTTTTCATTTACTCATAAAATATATATTCCGCAGTTGTTCGGCAAACTCAGATATAGCGAAATCGTGAATTGAAATATTAAAGTTTTCAGTTTTAAATAACTTTATTAAAAATCACCGCGCAAAAAAGCAAATGTTCACCTACTTTATTTAATAAATTTGTTTAGCGTTGTGTATCTTATGGATGATTCCATTGTTAAATATATGTGAAACCAGTAAATTATATAAAGATTTTTTCGATCAAAATGGATTAGCAACGTAGTACCTTTTACAACTTTTTTCTAAGGCCTAAAGAAATGGGGTTTTAAGAAATCAATTGTTTTTTAAAATCAATTGTTTTTAAAACAATATGCTATTGAGTAACACTTATATATATAAATATAAAAACTAGCTTAGGCAACAAGTTTTATCCAATGCTTATATAAATGGATTAATAATACGTTTTGTAAAGAGAAAAAACATTAAAAATAATCAATATTTTTACATAAAAACCGTTCTTCGTGCCTTTTTAAGAAAAAAAAACACAAACAAACTAAAAAAAAAACTTTTTTTTTGTTATTGAAAAGTAATTGACTATTAATATTGATTATGAAACCTAAATAAAGAAGATTTGATAATATAATACTAAACGTGAAGGTTTAACTTTTACGTTTATTTTTTTAGAATAATTTAAATTCTGGTCGGAATTTTGAAAATTTAACACTTGGAAAGCAGAAACTTGAAAACCTGGGAGTAAACTAAAGTTTAAACCAAATGTTTTACACTTTTCATGTAAGTACAACACATTTGTTATTACTTCAATTACATTTCTTATTAATTTGGATTTCTGCTTGTAAGAATTTTTATTTATTTATTTTAGTAAAATCATCTTTTATTTTATCTGTTTCTATTGCTTTGCAGTTATTTTGACTGGGACACGTTTAGTAACGATTTTAGGTTGTGTGTGTTTGTGTATGTGTGTGTGTGTGTGTGCACGTATGTATGTGCGTGTGGGCAATGTTGGGGTTAACGCCCCAAAAGGTGATTTTCAAATTATAATCTGTTTTTAGAGAACTAAAGTCGACTAGTTGGGTTTTTGACATATTTCGATTGATTGAATTTTAGCTTTGAGGATTTCTTTTTTTAAAGTATTTATCCCGCCCCTCATTTTATTTGCCGCACTGCCGCCGGGTATGTTAGCCATTTTTTGTTGTTGTTATGCTTTTCAAACGTTTTATTATTTTTTTTTTATGGAAATCATTTGAGAAAATCCTATACTATCAAAAAATAACATTGTTAAAAGATAATATTGTTTTCAATACATTTATAATTGTTTTTGTAAGATAAGTGGCGTGCTTTATTTCAGGCCTAGCATATGACAAGGTACACAAATTTATTAAGAATATTGTTTTTATAAAGTTTACCATAGGCTTTAAAAGTGAATGTTTTTCCAATTTAAAAAAAAAAAAGTTTCTGGTAAAATAATACCAAAGAGGTATAGTAGAAATAATAATCCTCCTTGATAATACCATGGAGGTATAATAGAATCGAGGGAGAACAAAGCCAAAAATGGTGTAAAACTATAGTAGAATCTTTGACGTATAACTATTCCAGCGCACAGTGGGGCAAGATAAATATAAGATGGATAAAAAATTATTACTCCATTATTTTAAATTTTTCATATTAGATTTTTTATCACTGGCACTAGTTATCATGGAGACCTTTTTTAAAAAGAAATAATTGTTTTTTTCCAGATGCAGGGACATTAATAGAAAAGAGTGTATAGGGTGTTAAGGATTTTACAGATAATTTTGGTTATTATTAGAAACAGTTTTTCCCAGACTTAAAAAAAACCTTGATCTGCAAAAAATTCTTCCTCAGACGGACAATCTACTGATACTGGTTTATCTTTTAAGAATTATGAATTAAATATGGTATGTTTAATTCATAATTCTATTGCTATTGCTTTGGTATGTTTTTCATATTTATCAGCGTTAATTTTATGTTTGCACGATAAAACACAAAAAGTTACGTAGAAACGCTTTATGAGATTTCTTATTTAAGACAAGTATTTCAGTTATAGGATTACTTTTCGTGCCGTGATTCCATCATTTTGTTGAACCTGATCCGCTGCTTCTTGGTACATATACAATTAAACCTAAGTAATCTTTCATCTTTTGTAAGTAATCTTTCATCATTTTGAAAAATAATATTTTTTTTATATCAAATTCTTTATCATCCTCTTTCCTAACTTGCCTTTTTTCTTATTCAATTCTATAACTTTTAAGAAGGCAGCATTCAAAGCACCTATTGCATGCATGTAACGTATTCAATCCAAGCTCAGTGGAAACTGCATTAATTATTTTTGAAAAAATAACATTTAAATTGTTCATATTTGAAGGGATCAGTCCACAAATACTGCATACATGAGAAGAATTACTTAAAGGTGAAACTATAGAAGCCAATTTTCCATTAATCATTGTGCATTTAAACTTATGTTTGATAATAACGTAATTAATGACCATTGGTTTCAAATTACTGTTCTTAAAAAAAATATATCATTGAGTAATTACCTCTGCACTTTCTTGTACAGATTAAAATTGTACTGCATAATAGTAAAGTGTAGAGGATGGTTTTCCATTAGCCCACTGTGAATCGCCAGTTTCTTTAATTTAGAGTTAAATTGGAAAGATGCTATCTTGCAACATTCCAACTAAACTGTATATTAAAGAATCTGTCGAATCGCGATGGGCTAACCGTCCTCTTTACTTTACTGCCGTACAGTACAATTTCAATATGTACAAGAAAGTGCTGAGGTAATTACTCAAGAATAAATTTCCTTCAAAAAATATATTCTTTAGTGGAAGCAAAGGTTGTTCCTCAACAAACTGATAATTTTCTCGTCTACTGTACTTTTTTTGTGTAATGATTGGCCGGTCGGACCATCAAATCTTACTTTGTATATAAAGAAAAGAATGTATTTTACAGGAGCCTTTACAGTTGATTGCGTATTTTTAACAACCTCAATTTAGTATGGTCAATTAGATGTAAATCAACTTAAAGGCTAAATAATCAGTAGTTTGTATTACACAACAAGATGTGCGTAAAACTTTTTCTTCCCTTACTTTGTTATAGGTTGGATGTAATTCATTTTCTTTAAAAACTGCTCTAATTCGAAATTTTCGGTAATCGGCTTTACTAAGCCAACAGTCCAAAATCAAAGCTAATGTTTCCTTTCCAGTATGCATTGTTATTAATTTCACTGTTCCATCTTTCTCTGATTTTATTATTTTTTGACAATCTTTAATGTAAAAATGTAATTTTTAAGAGTGAGATAATTAAAATCCACTAAAAAAATCACCCGTAGTATTTTGTAAATTTTTTTTTAATAAATAAGATAAACTAAAAATAACTACAGTATAGATGGTATTAAACTCGGGATCGCTAAACCTTTTTTACTCTTTTAGGCTCAAAATTAGTAAGTAAAAAAATTCCTCTTTTGACAGCAAAGTTTTTCTTTTATGCTCTCCTCTTCTTTGTTTTTTCAGAAGCTTTTTTCAGGAGCTTGGTAAATAGTTTGGAATTTGCAAACTATTCACCTAAGGTGAATATTTTAAATTAGTTTAAATTAGTTGTACTCGGAGGCCCTGGTGGTCTCCGTCGACAACTAATTTAAACTAAAATATCAGATGATTGCATTTAGTATAAACACAAGCTAAAACAAAATTAAATAGTAAAAAACAACTTTAGACTATTACTTTAACTTTTATGAAATGTCATACCTAAATTGTGATATAAAGTAGGAAAAGCCAAGCCAAAGTTTTTGCCATTGTCTAGTTTATCTGTTTCAAAACGTGGATTGCTTGCCTTTAGTTCTTTTTCTAACCAGATTTTGTAATGCAACTCTAATCTATTTTTGTGTCTGTTTACTTTTTTCTATTTTTAGTTAATTTATTTTGAAAATAATTTAAGGTCTATGTCAGAGATTCCTGTAACTTTATAAGCATCAGGGCCGGTAACTGATTTGATTAAGTTATTTTCAAAAGCAATTTCCAAAGCATGAAGTAATTTGTAATGTGATCATATTTGAAATATTATAATACAATGTATAACTAATTTTGCATGAAAAGAAGTCTTTTAATTTAAACGCTTTTTGTCATTTAACAGCATGAAATTTTTGTATCGGACTTTTACGGCAGAACAATAAGAAATTTCTTAAATTTTTCTTCTTTTTTTTGAAAGAGGCTTTGATTATTCAAAAAACTGTGCTAGTTTTCTAATTAATTTTATATCTTGAAAAAACTAGATTAGCATATGATTGATCTTGTTTTGGAAAAACCGCGTGACTAACATAGAAGAAATGTATTTTAATTCAAATAGTTCATAAAGTGTGTGTAAATTATTTTCAAACGTCTTTCTCTTTCGTCACTTTAAAAACTTTTAAGTTAAATGGGAAATTTATGATCTTTTTTTGAAATCACAATATGCCAAAAATATATAAACACAATTGAAAATATATTAATACAGCCACTGAAAAAACATTACGTATTACATTTTCACATTTATTTCGTGCTTTATTTATAAACTTGAGTATCAATCTTTTATCTCCTTTGATACATTTCAAAGACCAATAACATTATTGTTTCACTTTCTAATATCCTTCTTTGAGGTAACAAATGCCCTTATAGCTTAAAAATCTGATTTAAACGAATCATCTCTTCGCGTGTGAGGCCCAAGTAACGTTTTATAAATGTATACTTTACAAGTTATTTGGTTAAAAATATAAATGAAAAATAAATAACAATTGCTCTAAGAAGTTATTACAAAAACAATATTTTGGTTAGAAGTAATCATCAAGTAAACAAAACAAATTGAAAAAAAAAATTAAACATTGAATAAATAAATAAAAGAGAGAGAGTTTAAACAAGAACTTTGTTACAACTTATTTATTGAAAAATATAAAAGTTAAATATATAACAGTTTGTGGTTAGTTAAGAAAAAGTTTTAAAAACATTAGTCATGTAAAAAGTAATATTCAAGTAAAGAACAAAAAATTAAAATTTAAAGAGTAGTTTGTTAACAAAAACTGTAATATATATGTAAACCTTAAAACTAATTTGTTTAAAAGTAAAATAGATATCACCTAATTGATAGTTAAAGGAAACTTCCAAAAATAATATTCAGACTAGATTTCAACAATAACATTTAAGATTAGAGGTAACACTTAATTAATGAAATAAAAGTTGATACATTCTGTGACATATTTTATATAATTAAATTTTAATTCAAAAAAAAGCATTTTAAATCAGATACGTTTAATTCCATATGTAAAACGCCTGTTTGAATTCATTTTTAAATTGTTGTCTAATATCTTTTTTTCTTTGTTTTCAATCATAAGAAACATTTCCTTAAATAAGGTTAATCACCACTGAGTTAAATATGATTTTTTAAAAGTATATTTAGAGACAGTGTAGCTATTATCTGAAAGTTTTTTAAGATATTTATGTCGGGTAACAACTTTGTCAAAATAGGTCTTAAATATTTAATGAGATAATCCATCTTTGTTTTAAAAATCCATCTTTGTTTTAAAAACGAATATTAAAACTAAAATTAAGTTGATTTTATAGAGATTTAATGCACCAAGTTTACGCAAAAGAGGTTAACATGGGACAGTTTATTAGCTTCAAATATTATTCTGCATGTGCTATTTTGTTTACTGTTAAATTTTATTAAGTTTTCTTTGATTTGTACTTGCTCAAGCATCATTACATTAAATCAAGTAACAATGAATG